TCATCATCATCATCATCCTCTTCATCATCTTCATCATCTGTCCTCTCTGATTCCTCCCCCGTCTCTCCCCTCAGCTCCATCATTTACCGTAATGTTAGTAGAACAGGCTCACAGCAGCTGTGTGTGTGTGTGTGTGTGTGTGTGAATTATTGATTTCCCCACAGAGCCACAAGCAGGCAGTTAATCTATGGTCTGAATTCTGATTGGTCCATTGTGGTCAGGCCTCATTACCTGATAATCCAGGCCTGAGCTGATTGGACGAGGTGAAATCCCTCTCTTAGGGATGGGAGATGATTCAGGCTGAGGTCACTGCTGCTGTTCACTGGGTGGTGATGTCATCTCACCTGAGTAGGAGAGTCTTCGATGGTTCCACTGGAGAACGATGGTCCATGTGGAATGTTGTAGAGGACGGTAATCTGGGAATAAGGTCAGACCAGGGTCCATGGAGAAAATCAGAGATTTTAGTTCAGACCAAAGTCCATGGAGAAAATCAGAGATTTTAGTTCAGACCAAAGTCCATGGAGAAAATCAGAGATTTTAGTTCAGACCAAAGTCCATGGAGAAAATCAGAGATTTTAGTTCAGACCAAAGTCCATGGAGAAAATCAGAGATTTTAGTTCAGACCAAAGTCCATGGAGAAAATCAGAGATTTTAGTTCAGACCAAAGTCCATGGAGAAAATCAGAGATTTTAGTTCAGACCAAAGTCCATGGAGAAAATCAGAGATTTTAGTTCAGACCAAAGTCCATGGAGAAAATCAGAGATTTTAGTTCAGACCAAAGTCCATGGAGAAAATCAGAGATTTTAGTTCAGACCAAAGTCCATGGAGAAAATCAGAGATTTTAGTTCAGACCAAAGTCCATGGAGAAAATCAGAGATTTTAGTTAACAGGGACACAAGAATAACTGACCCACTGGTGCCTCCAGTGGTCAGATTATAGCAGTACTAGTACTAGTAGTTGATGGTTGGTGTAAATGTGACTGGTGTTGATGCGTTCCTCCTGATCTTATTACACTTCCTTCCAACTCTCTTTCTTCTGTTTTCCTCTAAATGATGTCATCAAAAGAAAGTTCATCACAGCCTGTGTTTATCTGTCATAGCACCCTCTATTGGCACCAGGAGGAATCATGTTTTATAAGAAAAAGGAAGTCAAAGTAATTCCTGGCAACATTCCCAAGATTCCAGGCAGTTTTTAATTCATGAACTCGATGGTTCACACCTGGTGTACAGTACCATCAACATTCCCAGATAAAGACAGCAGTCACACACACACACACACACACACACACACACATCTCTCAGTCTCTGACATATTTCAAGGTGTGTGTGTGTGTGTGTGTGTGTGTGTGTGTGTGTGAACTAATCCCAGCCTGATGCTCAGCTAAGCTGTTGTGTTGGTGTTTACATGGTTGTTACCGTGGTGACCTCATCACCAGGCCCCGCCAGAGGGGAGGGTGAGAGGGTGAGGGTGGGGCGACCACAGACGATGGAGAACCACAGACGATGGAGAACCACAGACAGGAGAACCACAGAC